GCTCTGGGCCGCTCGCTACTGGCCCGTCTGCTCGGCCGTGCCCTGGCCGTGCCCGGCAACCTGGCTGCCTGCTCCGCTGGGCGTGGGCCTCTACCCATTGTGCCCCCAGGCCTCGCTGCGGGGGCTGCGCGGGGCTCACTTCTGCGTGCTCCCAGGCCTCGGCGCCACAGGTATGGGCTCCTGCAATGGGGGAGAGTGTGCTAGTGGGCACACGAGGGCTCCTGCAATGGGGGAGAGCGCGCCAGGGGGCACTTGAGCAAAGAGGACCGCGACGACCCTGCCTCTGAGAACCACAGGCCCGCCTGGGAGCAGGACTTGCTGAGATCCCACTGGGCCTGTGCCCTGGCCCCCTCCCGCCCCCCACACGCTGCTGAGTTGGTGGAAAGGCAGGGTGGGCGTGGGGGTGCCCTGCAGAGGAAGCAGATACGGGGGGAGGGGTGTCTCAGGTGGGCCCAGCCCTGTTCTCCGTCCTCTGCACCTTGAGGAGGGGTTTCTACATCAACCCCTGTGGGCAACGCTTGGTGACACAGACTCTTAGCCAAGGGGATTCTTGCCCCTCGCCCAGGACCATGTCTTTTCTGGAGACGCCAATGCCACGGATGGTGGAATTTGCTAAACTCGTTGCTGCGGCCTCGCTTCCGATTCATGGGGTCTCTTTTGGATGAGGTAGAACAGCCCGAAGGGTTTCTAAGGTGGGGACGTTTACACAAAGTCCCCTTGGTGGTGTGGTTATGTGTTGGGCTGCTAACTGTAAGGTCAGCAATTAGAAACTACTAGATCATGGCGCTCTGAATGCTACCCACGAGCCCCAGAAAGGGCCCTGGCTCGCTCCCCAAAAGCAAAACCGGAAAAAAACAAACTCGTTGCCAGCCAGTCGAGTCCAGATTCATAGCGACCCTATAGGACAGAGTAGACCTTACCTGTGGGTTTCTGAGCGTGTAACTCTACGGAAGGAAAACCCTCATCTTGCTGACTGGCTGGTGGATTAGAACTTCTGGCCGGGCAGTTGTAACAGTAGCCACTCCTCCACCAGGGCTCCTTCTAAGCACCTAAGTCCCAGGGAGAATGTATCTGTTGAGGTGACTTTCGCTTCCAGCATTGACATTCACCTACATGGGCTTTATAGGAGCCCTGGTTACCGTTGGGCTGCCAACTGCAAGGTCAACAGTTCGAAACCACCTGCCACTCCACAGGTGAAAGAGAAGACTTTCTAATCCTGCAAAGAGTTACAGTCTCAGAAACTCGGGGGCAGTTCTACCCTGCCTAGAGGGTACCTACAAGGTGCCATCCTCTCGATGGCCAGGGTTTTGCTTGTTTGTTTTTCACCTGAGCTTTTGCCATTGTTAGCTGTCAGGTTCATGATGTCCTCAAGTGTCCAAGGAGGAAACAGGAGCAAAAGTTATTAAATTCTTGGGTACCTCATACTGCCTTAACTAAGAAATACCACAAGTGCCTGGCTTTACGGAACAGGAATTAATGTTCCTGTTGTTCAGGAGACCAGGAGACCAAAGTCAGTGTGTGGGTCTAAGAGGAGGTGTGTCTTTATCTGTTTATCTTAGGAGTTCCTAGGTTGGTATAGATGCAACAGCCGGGTGCCTTTGTCTTCTTGTAGCTCAAATGATTAGATTTGGGACCCACTCTATCCTGTGTGACATCCTGAGCATAACAAGTCCCCTATTTCCAAACACAGCCATGATCCATAGGTAACAGAAACAAACCAACAAAAACCCAGACCACTTCCTCCGCAAGTCAACTCTAACCCATAGCAGCACTACAGACAGGATTGAACGACCCCATAGGGTTCCAAAGACTAATCTGTACAGAATTGAACTGACATCACCCTTGGGGGGCGGGAGGGGGGGAGGGGGGCTCCAGCTGCCAACGTTTCTGTGAGCCGCTGAAGATTTTTGCACTGGACCCATTTATCCACTGCCTCACACTTTAGCCTGGTACCCCCTAGGCACCTCATGTTCCCTCTAGGAACAGGCAGGGGTGAGAATTTCGGCACGCGATCTGAAGGAGCTATTCAAGCCACAGGTCCACGAGAACGGGGATTGCCCGTTGTGTCGTGGACCCGTGCCTGCCGCAGCATGGGTATTTTCTAGGTGAATAACAAGGGTGACCCCCTAGGCCCCTTCTCTGCTCATCCCATGGAGTTCCCTGCGGTAGCCATGGCAAGGAGGAGGGCGAGGAGAGGGAGGATTGGCGACTCCTACAGGGCCCTGGTGGCATAGTGGGGTTATGCTTTGGGCTGCTAACCTCAGCCAGCAGTCCCAAACCACTATCACCAAGGGAGAAAGACCAGGCTTCCTATTCCTGTAAAGGATCAGTCTCAGAAACCGCCCAGGGCAGCTCTGCCCGGGGCCATAGGCTCGCTGAGAGCTTGCTGAGAGTTGAAATGGACTGGGGGGCAATAAGGCCCCAGGGGCCAGAGGTTAGGCCACTGGAGGCAGAAGTAGTTCTCCACATTGTCCCTTCTTTCTCAGATTGTTGTTTGTTGTTTGTCCGCAGTCTCTCCCCCTCGGCCCTTTCTGTTGCCTGGCCAAGGGGAAGGCAGGGGAAGGGAGCTGGGTGTTTGTTCTCTTCCCTGCAAAGTGGCTGCCGGAGGGCTAGCTCTGCTCCTGATGTTTGCTCTTTAGGCGTGGAGCTGGCCCACTGCCCAGCCCTCTGGGACCCCCCAGCGTGGTCCACAGCCCAGGACCTTCATGACACCGATCCACCAAAGAGGGTTAGAACCATGTTCAACTTGGAGCAGCTGATGGAGTTGGAGAAAGTGTTTGCCACACAGCACAATCTGGTGGGGAAGAAGAGAGCCCAGCTGGCTGCCCGGCTCAACCTTACGGAGAACCAGGTCGGAGCCGGTGATCGGGGGTGGGGAGGGGGGTCTGGGCTGCATGCACCCAGGGGCAGACACTATTTTGTGGGTCTGGGTGGTGGGAGGGACATGGGTCTTCCTCCTCTGCCCAGCTACGGCAGGGCTGAAGGGGGGTGGGTAGGCGCAGGGGAGCAGGAGGGGGGAGGAGACAGGCCTTAGCCATTGGCATTCTCCCTGTATGTTGAGAAAAATAATTCCATTTGAAATTACACTATGGGAGCCATACAGGTCAATCTGGATAGTAATCTGGTTCAGGGACTAGATATGAAAGTGTCCCCTTGGCCCCCAGATTGTCCTCCAGCCATCGATTGTCTCTGTGCCCGTCACAGGCAGCACGCTTCTCCAGAACTTCCTCACTCACTGCCTTTCCGATACAACGTCTTTCCCAACCAGCGCGTCCACCAAAACTTCCCAGGAGGGTCTCGAATGAGTTCCGTGTTGCTGAACTCAATAGCTGCTTTCCTTTCTTCCTCTTCACCCACTACCCAGCAGCCCCACACGCTGTGCACGCCCCACCCCCCCAGCCGCCCCCCTCTCTGGAAGCACTCTGTAAGCTTGACCTGCAGGGCACCACGTCCCCTTCAGTTTCCTCCCCGCTTGTGACTCCTTTGCAGACCGCTGTTCTGTGACTGCCAGTGTCTTGCCATCAGACCTTGTTTCCTCCCAGCTGAGCCAGCCGGGTAGATTAGAACACTGTCGATTAGCCGGCAAGTCCCAGATCCTGTCTGGTCCTTCCTAACTTGTACACGGTCTCCACTTAGGTGCCTCATGACCAGGTATTTCCAAGTCAGAAAGTCTGAACTTCAGATCTTGTTATTTTCTCCCTCCCAAATCCGTTCCTCCAAACAGACCCTACCCTCTACCCAGTTGCCCCCAAACCGACTCCTCTTTGATTTCTTCGTCTTCCTTCCCCTGACCCTACTTCTCATCCATCAGCAAGCCTCCGTCACGTACCTCCAAAACAGCTGCCATCTGTCCATGGCCCGGGTTCAGAGCACCCGCCTCTCCCGCTCCGTCCCACTCACCTCCCTCTCCCGCTTCCACCCATGCTCCACATAGTAGCCTGACACCAGCGTCCCAGGAAGTTTCCATGGGACCAGGTCACATCTCACTTCTGAAGTCTCATAGTTGGCACTCCTCACCTCAGCCTGCCAGGTCCCTGGTGATCGCCCTGCCCCCTATCCCCCCACCCCCCACCCCCGCTAGGGGTCCCCCACTTTCCCTCTCTCCGCTTTGTTCTTTCTCTGTCTGATTTGGGCTGTGCTACCCTCTCTCAGGAGGAGTCCTGGAGGCACCATGGGGCTGCTAACAGCAAGGCAGCAGTTCAAAACTACTGAGGGAGAAAGACGAGGCTTTCGGTTCCCTTAGACAGTTACAGTCTCAGAAGCCCACAGGGGCAGTTGGGCCCTGACCTGTAGGGTCTCGATGTGTTCTAATGGGCTTGATGCTGGAGCCATAGGGTAATGGTTGGACTGACTGCTGGGAGGGAGGTTAGTGGGGGAAAGCTGAGGCTGTCTGTGCCCATGAAGACTCACAGGGCTGCTGTGAATGAGCTGGACACAATGGCAGTGCAGAGGGCTCTCCTTTCTGGTCCCCAAGCACTGATCTTCTTTGTTCCTTCCTTCTGGGTTGACCCCTCACCCTCCCAGCCCTGGCTTAGGTGCTGGTTCCTCTGGGGCGGGGGGTGTGGTGTGGGGTGGGGGTGTTGTCCTTCTGCACCGCAGCCCCCCCCATGGCCACCTTTGCCAGTGTTTGTGTTTCTGTATTGGCTCGTTCAAGATTGGTCCTCCTCTGGCCGACTGTGAGCTCCCCGGCTTTCTGGCACACACCTCTCTCTTCCTCCCCTCCGGCCACACCTGGCACGCAGTACGAGCCCATTTGGTTCTTAGCGAGCGAATGGCGACTGGCATTGCAGGAAAGAGTGCTTTCGAAGCAGTGCATCCTTTAGGAAAAAGAACAAGGTCTTGCCAGGCAGAGAGTGGTGGGCATAGCAGCTGGGGGAGCAGTAGGAACTGCTGGTCACATTCTGATCTGTGCCCACTGTCCCTGATTACAGGTGAGGGTCTGGTTCCAGAACCGGAGGGTGAAGTATCAGAAGCAGCAGAGGCTGAACCTGTCCGCCCCAGACGAGCCCTTGGAAGGCCTGCCATCATCACGGAGTGAAGGCGCCACGTCAGGAGAGGACCCGGGAGAACTGGGCAGAGACTCTGTGGAGTGTGCCTGAGCCAGTTCCCCCTAGAGGCAACCACTGGACCTCCCCATCCCACACATGTGGGTCTCCCCAAAGAGCCTCTCCACTCGCCAAGGGCACCGGGCTATCCGGGGGGGCCCCCATAGACTGAGAAGGCTAGCGTGACACAGCTGGCAGAGGGGGGGATGTGGACCTTCTGCCCCGTGTCCTTCGCCATGGTACGGACCTGCATTCTTCTCTGTGTGGTGTGTGTGCGATGTGTCTCACGGGGCTGAAGCCATGTCTGTGACGTACTGAAAACGTGCCAGGCCCAGAGCTTAGTGCACAGTGACAGGGTCTTTACAGACCTGCCTCCCCAACCAGCTGGCCACAGGGCTTGGGCTTTTCCTGGGCTGGCTGTGGGTTCGGGGCCTTCTGCAATCAGTGTTTGAGCAAAGTCCTTTCCTGACAAGGGCTGGTGGAGTTAAGAGCAGGGAGGAGCCAAAGACAAGTCACTTCGCCGCCTCGGTTTTGGAAGGCTTGTGTTGTGTTGTTTTTTTAAATCTGTCATCACTCTTAGAAGGAGTTCAGCACCCCTTCCCCCTCCCCCACTGCCTTCTCCACCCAATCCAGCTACCTGTCTACCTCTGCTCCCTTTCCATCTTTACCTAGAGTGGAGAAACGTTACTGTCTCTCCTAAGGCTAGCGTTGTCTCATAAACTCTGCTGTATTTTCACAAAATGGTTACAACCATACACCCATCCATCCACTACCTTGACTCATTGCTCTCAGGCCTTCCAAGCAATTGGCTGGCTTGATCTACCAGCAGGCCGGGCTGGCCTGGCCACCATGAGGCTGTCCTGCCACCTTGTGGTCAGAGGGACACACTCCCTACATGCTCTCAGCCCAAGGGGTTCTGAGGCAGGCCGGAGCAGAGGTGCCCCTGGTTGCAAACTTGAGGTGAGGCGGGGGTCCAGCTTCAGGAACGTTTCTTTGTCCCTGCCCATTGGGAGAACCTTTCTAAAGCTGGACTTGGTCGACCCTCTTCATTAAAGGAACCCAATTGTCTCTGCCTCTTGCAAAGGTGACTGGTTCAGCCAACTGTGAGTTACCTATCCAGCAGTTACTGAGCCTCACCCAGCTCCCAAATCTCACGTGAGATCACCGTGGATTCTGAAGCAGGTGCCTTCTCACGGTGCGCAGAGCCAAAGGGGACTAAGCCACACGGGCAAGTGGGCGTCAGGTGCTACCCATCAATAGTTTGCAGCCTGGGTCCTGGGGTTCTGAATGAGAGCAGGCCTCTCTGCCCTGCTGCTCTGGGGATAGTGTGCACACTCAACTCTGCATTACACAGTTTCTGGGGGCCTGAGTCCCCGGGGCATAGTGGTGGCATGTTGGGGTGCCATCTGCAAGGTCATCAGTTGGGAACTACCAGCTGCTCCGGGAGGAAAAGAGGGATTTTTGCTCCCATAAAGAGTTAGTCTCAGAAACCTACAGTGCAGCGGCCGGCCTTCAACCGGTGGGTTGCCACTCTTTGGGGGTGAAACGACCCTTTCACAGCGGTCGACGGATTCATAACAGTGGCAAAATGACAGTGATTAAGTAGCAACGAAAATAATGTTACGGTTTGGGCGGTCCCCACCACACGAGGCACTATTACAGGGTCGCGACATGAGGAGGGTTGAGAACCACTGCTGTAGTGGCTGCTCTACCCTGTCCGATAGGCTTGCTAAGAGTTGGCATCAATTCGATAGCAATACATCTACTATTTGTTTTAGATCTCTCGAAGTCCACCCTGGCCTGTGGACCCTGCCCCCAGGCTGAGGCCGTAGTAGAATGACCCACCCCACCACCAGAGTTCATAGGGCCAGGGAGCCCCAGAGTGAACTTCAGGTTGGAGAGCCCACGGGCTCCCACGGAGACACATCAAAAGAATACGTTCACATACAGTCACCGATATAGGGGGGCATGCGAGCTGCCAAGGCACCCCAACTGCACAGACATAAAAGCACCTGGTCGGTGAACAAATTGACCTAGACGCTGACGGAGAAAAAGGCCCCGAGTTCGGATTCGCTGGGGCGCGCGCGCGGCTCGCCCCTCCGCCCCTTGCGCTGGGGGCGGGGCTTCTCAGGGGCGGCGGGGTCAAGGGTCAAGAGGCGGAGACGCCGGCGCCTCCAAGATGGCGGCCTCCATGTGCGACGTGTTCTCTTTCTGCGTGGGCGTGGCGGGCCGGGCCCGGGTCGCCG